TTATGTATCAAGATATTATCTCAAAACAAACAAAAAAGCCCCACAGAGATTCATAGTAACTTCTCAACACAAAGAAGCCAGAAGTGAAGCCAACAAAATGAAAGGTGGAAAAAAAAAATGTTGTTGATATGTTATGCAGCGACACTGATGTCACTCAAAACACAAAGTGTTGGCCAATAATGTTTTACTCAATCCCAAATATGGAAAATATAGTTTCATAGTTTACAAAGAAAATAACAAGTACAAAACACCTTAAGACTGAGACTAGACTTGGTAAATGATCAATTAAAACAGAGGAAGAATAATATGTGTCTTTCCAAAGAACTCAAACAGTTTTGGAGCTGGGCATGGTGGCACATGCCTAAAATCTCAGCACCCCAGAGGCTAAGGCAGGAAAATCACTACCCTGGGTTATACAAGTGAGTTGAAGCCCAACAGGCACTATGAGACCTTGTCTCAAAACAAAACACACAACACAACATAACAGAATTCAGAAGCAGATGAACAGACAGACAAAATACCACAAGAACCACCTAAGAAAACAGAAAGACTAGCAAAATGTCATGTGTCCTACCAAGACAGGAAAACAAAACACATGTGCTATAAGTATACATGATAATGTGTATGGAACACGTTCTCCATATGTGAAAACTGCCTCGGGTGCGATAATTTAAATAAAAGTTTCTTTGGTAGTAGCGTTTTATTTGTATTTTTATTTTAGTCCACATTGGAATTCATTTCTGCTATTGTTTTTTTAGATTTAGTCAATAGTTGATGTAGAAAACATTGATGGTTATTCTAAACATTCAGTACATTTGATATTGTATTGATATTTCATTTTCCTGCTAAGTGGACAACGTATAATAAGAAATTCCTAACAAAACAGGGGAACAAGAGAAGTGACAAGTATGGCCTGTCAAGCAGAAAAGAAAAGCTAAGCACACAATTGCACATATGCTGTCAGTATGAGCAATATTTGTTATAAAACATGTTATTAGGTGTGAAGACTGCCTTAAGTGTAATAAAAATTTTTGTAGTAGAGTTCTGTATATTAGTTGTAGTTCTTACAGTTATTTTTTTTCCATAAATTTATTGAGAAACAAATACCAATGAGACAGTTTCAAACCAAACTGGTAGGACAGTTTCAATGATTAACACATTGTATACATTCTTCCTAGTGGTTAATTGCTGTGCAAGATGTGGACATGATATCCTACTTACAAACACCATTAGAACAAATCCCTCTATTCATTAAGAGAATGTAACTGTATATCAATCCTAGCCATTTGAATACAGATACAAAATGGACATTCATCTGCATCCCCTTTTTGTTGTTAAGTTCCATTATTTGAATATTATAGGTGTGTAAACTCAGCAAAATAATCTAAAAGAGTTCAGTAGTCCATAATAGTATTGGGTCTTCTGTTTGACTGGTAATGTCAGAAATTGCTGACCTGAGTCCCCTACAGCTCAACATAACAGCATGGCTTTACTTCTGGAGAGGCTGTGGGGAAAAAGGAACCCTTCTCCACTGCTGGTGGGAATGTAGACTGGTGCAACTGTTATGGAAATCGGTATGGAGACTCCTTAGAAAAGTTGGACTGGAAATCCCATTTAAACCAGCTCTTCCTCTACTGGGAATTTTCCCAGAGGATTTGAAAACATCATATTATAGTGATATATGTGTGTCTATGTTTATAGCAGCACAATTTGTGATAGCCAAATCTTGAAAGCAACCAAGATGCCCATCACCTGAGGAATGCTTCAAAAAGATGTGGCATTTTTACACAATGGAGCATTATTCAGCTATTAAGAATGATAAACTCGAAGCCTTTATATCGAAGTGGGTGCCACTTGAACATATACTCATAAGTGAAATAAACCAGACACACATGTGTAAATATCGTACAGTTTCCCTAGTATAAGAACTCAAAAGAAGAAATAGAAATACAAAGGTATAATACAAGTAAAAGGAAAGAAGGATCTCAAGGACTAACTAATCAAGAGAGGGAAAGGAGAAGAGCTAGGAAACATGAATAAGTCAAGTCATACAGTTATATGTAGAAGATGGGGAAGGCAATGATCCTGAGAATCTCCAGAAGATTTTTGAATCTAGCAGTTAATTGGAAAAATTCTCACCCTGACTAACTATGTATACTGATACCTGTGAACTAGGCTACTGCACTGCAGATGGTAATTTGTAATAGTAGTTTCATGCTTGGAGAGCCTGTCATTTTGGTCTTCTGAATAAGGGCTGCTTGTCACGACATGCCAGTTGCTGCTATGATGTCTCTCAGGTAGGTGGTTGTTCAAAAAGTAGGGGTGGTGAATGAAAGCAAGAGACAGGAAAAGGGATATTGTGGGACTGTCCTGCTTCAAGGTTGTATATGGTGAGATTTTTGGACTTATGTGTAAACATAAGAAGTATATAATTCTTTATGCCTATTTTTAAAATATATTCTAATTTTTAAATGTTTTTTATTATATTCTGTAGGTACTTAAAGTTCAACATATCAATACTTGATGAAAAATACCTGTTCCATATCTTGCAGTTATTTTTCAGATCTTGTAAGCAGGTAAACAGTTCATACTGAAAACATGGACATTTATTCTATACACTGATTACATACTAAGATTAATATTTTATTTTATTTTATTGATCTGTATTTTCTTGTTAAGCACACATTAATATAATAAAGCTCATAAAATAATTCATCCATAGATATGTTTTTAAAAGGGCTACATATAATGAAAAGGAATAACAGCAGAAAGATTATCCACAACCTATAATCTTACCCCTCTCATGCATAGAACAAAGTAAGAACTTGCTCCAAGAGAAGCCGAAGTAAAGCACAATTGAGGGAAAGTTTGGCCTATTCCAGGTGATAAACTATGACTAGAAATAAGGGAATCTGAAGAGATTCCTTGGCAATTTAAATTGAATAGCGTGTGTTCTGAAACAGTGAGAATGAAGGAATATGAGAATTGAACTCTTGGCATTGAAACTCAAAAAATTACCTACTCCATTCCCAAATCAAAATTGAACTTGGATCACATTATATGTACATAAACAGAGAGAAAAGTAGGCATATTCTTCACAAAAACACCCCAACAACCTTCAACAATATTTTTCTGCCTTGATTTAGAAGTATTTGCTATCTCTGGTATTTGATCTTGAAATGGTTCTTAGCTGGACATAAAATGCATTAAAAAGAACAATAAGCTTGAAAAAAAAATTTTTTTTTTTTTGAGACAGGATCTCGATATGCAGTTTAGGATGATCTTGAGCTCACTTTGTAGCCTAGGCCAGTCTTCAACTTGCAACAATCCTAACTCTATCTCCAGAGTACTGGGATTATGGACGTGGGTCATCATGCTTGGCAGCCCAAAAATTATTGTAGGATAAATAGCAGAAAATCATTCCATACCCTTCCTAAATGCTGCCTTCTTATTGTTTCTTTGCTTTTTTTTTTTTTTTTTTTAATGTAGTTAGTACAAGGTCTATAGGGTCTCACTACACAAATCAGACTCACAGTGATCCTCCTGTTTTTAGCCTCCCAAGTGCTGGGATTATAGGCATGCACGCCACCATACCGAGTCTTAATCACAGTTTCAGCGCACCCTGGGGGCAGGGCCAGCATGGCAGTCCAGGACTCCAACCTCTGTCACTGTGTCTGCCTAAGCAAGCGCTTTAATCTGCTGAGCTATGGTTTTTGTTTTGTTTTTTAATAGCTACCTTCTCCTCCACTTCTGCCCTCTATCACTTCTAATTTTAAAGTACCTTTCAATGCACTTCAAATGCACACAGGCATGGTACAGAGGCACTAGGAATGGGTCAAAGAGTGCTTCACTCTTTACTGCATTCAAAAAAGCTAAATTCATTCCCAAACAGAAGCCTGAAAAATTAAATTTACAGAATCTTGAAAGGTAAATCCCATCTGGCATATATTTTTTTGTATTTCCCACATAAAATCTCAAATCAAAGTCTTTTTCTTTAAGGTACAGGGAATTAAATATACAGACTCTGGGGAGCAATAGGTACAGCAAGGGTTAATAAATCTTTAGTGTGTGTGTGTGTGTGTGTGTGTGTGTGACCAGGGATTGAACTCAGGACCCTCCATTCGCCAGGCAGGCGTTTATTCTACTGAGCTATCTCCCTGGCAAGGGTTAATCTTAAAGACTATATAGTTGAAGCATACAGTTTTAAGACCCTAGCAGTTTCAAAGACTGATCTAAAGACTCACTGTAAGTCAGCTAAAAAGTGAGAGTAAGAAACTAGATCTACTCATACCAACAATTCAACTTTACTTGCTGTGTAATCCAAACTAAGTAATTATATTTTAACAAAAAAAAAAAAAAAAAAAAAAGAGGGTAAGAAGCATTAGTTAACATTTCAGTGCCCCACTGGATCAACTTAAAGACACCTCAACCCCCTATACACTGTTACACAGTACGCTATCTGGAAACAATACACACTGTATTTCTTTTTCCAAATTTTGTACTTTTGTACAGGCTCTACAGGGTCTCACTATGTAGATCAGACTCCTAGTGATCCACCTTTGTTCAGCCTCCCAAGAGCTGGGATTACAGTGTGCACCACCACACCCAGTCTCAATAGCAGTCTCAGTGCGCCCTGGGGGTGGGGGCAGGGCCAGCACTGGGTGAAACCCCAGCCACTATGTCTGCCTAAGCAACACAGACACTATATTGCTAACTCCCTAGTCACTTAGTACGCCTACTAAGTGAACAAAACTGAAAGTAGTAATGAACAAGAGTTTACAATGTAATTTTAAAGAATATGAGACAAACAGTAAAACCATCAATTAGAAATTATAGATCAAAATGACAAAAAAATAAAAACTAGTCTGCCTTCCTTCATTTTACAGATAATCAATTTGCAGCTCAGCATGCTAACATAATTATCCCTTGTCCCTTAGAAAGGCAATTCTAGCTTCATGCTAGTCTAAAGGAAAAAAAAATAATTTATTACTCATATTTACCTGAAAATCATCAACAAGCTCAGGAAAGAGGTGTTCATACATTTTTAGTTCATCTATTGTTCGTCCTGGTACTTGCTGTGGTTTTAATTTGTTAATATCTGTTTCAATATCATCATTCTGAAATAATAAAAACAGCATATTACCAGTTTTCAAAAAGTAATCATGAAATAAAGGTTGTATCAATTTTACCTAAATTCAGATTTGTTTCTTATTTTTGGATTGTTGTTATCAAGTTTTTCCTTTTTCATGATTATTCTAATATAACAGGCTGTTTGGTTCTTCATGACACAAAAAGTCTGTGGAAAGATCAAGATTAACAGATGTTCTTCTCAATCTCCCTACATGCCATCATGTCACATATTTTATAGTGCAATAAAACTTAATAAAGCTGAATTGAAAAACATATATATATATATATATATATATCTCAATGATGGAAACAAACAGCTAACAGCAATCACTAAAAATATATGAAGCACTATGCTGTTTTACATATATAATTTAATTTGCATAAGAAGGCTAAAGTAGATAATATCATTGCCTTCATTTTTTAAATGAAAGAAATAATACAGAGAAAAGTGAAGGAGCTTGTGGGGATACAAAAGTTGAGCGATGCCAAGGCACACAGTGTTGGCTAGTATGACACACGGCCTCAAGAAAGACTGAGGTTACCACACACTTACACACCATGATAAACACAAGTCCCTTAGAAAAACTTGCACTATCATTTACTCCACTTTTCAGAAGAAAAAAATAGAAAGTGGTACAACTGCCAGATCTTATTTTCATGTCCCTTTATGAAAGGAAAAGACACACTTAGAATCATGAAACAAGACGTGTGCCCAGAATTTATTTCATCTGTGTGGCTCAGAGAAGGGTCTCTGGGCAAAGAGGGCAGGAGTCAGGTTCCATAACATTCAAGCTAATTTCTAAGAGTCTCAATGATTCACCTCACACCAATACAAACTTACCATGACCTTCACAGATGATGAAAGAGAGAGAACAAGATCATCTATTGATGTTTAATTGGTACTCATTTTAATGTTCTATTTATCTTACTACACACATACTAATGTTTTGATTTGGGGGGGTTTATTGTTGCTTTTTTCATTTTATGTATTTGGTATAGGGTCTCACTACGCAGCTCAGATTTGTAGTGATTCACCGGCTTTCAGCCTCCCCAGCCCTGGCATTACAGGCATGCACCACCATGCCTGGACTCCGTCACTGGCTCAGCGTGCTGTCAAGGGTGGAGCTGGCGCCACATGCAGGACTGGGAATTGAACCCTGGTCCCTGCATTTGACAAAGCAGGTGCTTAGTCCACTGAGCTATCTCACCGGCCCTAACATACTAATGTGTTTAATCTTAAAGCAAATTTATTTTACCATGCATCAATCTTTATGTACATGTACCTGGCTATATAGATAGTAATTTAAGTAGAAATATACATATGTGCATATAAAGAAAATGTCTTACCAAAAAAAAATGATGAGACCAATTAAGAAAATGAAACATACAAGGCAGACTTGATAAAAGCCTTATCACAATTACGAAGTGATAGGTGTACTGAGGTATACTGGTGCATTTATGTATAAAGGACCATGATACATGATGAATGTAACTTGCAAATGGTTAAAAATGTTCATAAAGTGTGTACTCATGCATACACGCTCAAAATTCTCTAGGAACAAAATCAGTCACTGTTACAACTTCTACTGAATTCTACTTTCCCACTCTGTCTTTGTATCTCGAAAGTATCCCCAAAACAGGTATTTTTAGTGAAAATTAGATTGTACTGGCTATACTTTGTTTTCAACAGATACAGAATAAGAAAAGTTTAACAAAATACAGTATTTTAAAGAGGTGAATCTGGAAAATTTAGTACTAATCTGGGAAATTTTACTACACCGCAATATTCACTTTCCAAGAATCCAGTTACTTTTAAATATTCTTCCATCCTCTTCATTCTGACAAGTTCAGATCCCTTGGTGATCATGTTTGGAAGTAAACAAAATTGATTCTACTCTTCTTAGGACAAAAATCTTGCAACAGCTCAAGATTCACAGGCTGCAGTGTATTCCACTTATAGTAAACTTAGTAGACAAGTTTTGTTTTGTTTTGGTATCAGGAATTGAACTCAGGATCTTGTGCTTGCTAAGTAGGTGCTATGCCCTGAGCTATGTATCCCTAATCCCATAATGAAATAATCTAAGATTAAAAAAATAAATAAATAAATAAACTAAACTTCCAAGCAGCAGTCAAACTACTAAGCCCCTCCCCAAAATCCAAGTAATAAGAAAAATGGTTAATCAACCACAGGCCATTTTTCTACTGATGGTGCAGTGGTCCCCTCTGACACTAAAACAAAACCAAGCTCCTAAGCTCCCAGAAGTACCACAAATTCTGAAAAGTCACTTGCCTCTTTATATACAGCTCATGCAATATGACAATAACTTTATATATGCTTAACTCAATATACCATTTTTCCTTTTAGAATTAACTAAAGAATCATTATGCAAATGATCCAGCATAAAGAATCATTACGAACACTACTTCTTATAAATACACATCATATTAACTATGGAATATAAACTATTTTCCTATTTTTATAACCCCAGAGAATGGTAGACACAGGTTTGGAATTAGTTGTCATGAAGCCAAGCCACTTTATTAAGCTCCCTAGATTTTCTTAGATATCAAACTTTAAATCGGAAGGGTTAAATAAAATCTTTCTGCTCCAATGGAATGAAAAAGTTACTGTAGGGCCTTTTTTCAGACCAACAAATTTAAGGCAAGGTTTGTTTTTCAATCATTGAGTGTCCATAATCACCCACAATGAAAAAAATCAAATACCATTATATTTGATTTACCAGAACTATTTTTTCCAAATGAAGTATACAGTTTATAAAACTAATGATAAAAATTAACTAACCTTAAAATTTCGATCTAGGTCATCTTCATTTTCAATTTCATTCTCAGCTTCTAAATCAGTATCATCGTTGTCATCACTTTCATCTACTACGTCATCCACTATGATACAAAACATGCCATAAGTAGGTCAGAGGAATTCTACAACATGCACATCCAAAAGGAAATATAAACTGTATAATACATAAGCATTTCAAGCAATAAGAAAAAAGCAAAAGATTTCTTATTGAAATTATTTAAGGCTTTTCCAGCTATTGAAAAGCCTATGAAATAATAAGTACTTTAAAATTTGAAAGGCACAGTAAATATAAGTGGATTTTTGCTCACATCCTCAGATTTAAAAACAAAAAACATCTTATGTTGCAGAATACAACATCCTGCTTCCTACTTACAATACATTTCAATGCCTCATTTCATCCCTTATAATTCCCTTCATTCATTCTAATGACTGTGCCATGCATTGTGTTGCACACTGGGAATTTTTAAACATATATTTATATAATCTCTGCCCATATGAGTATATGAACTCATAGAGTAAAAGCAGAAAGGATTAAATATGGAAGATAAATGCTAATAAAGACATAATCTTCAAAATGCTACGGGAAAAAGAGATGCAATAGCCAACAGCAAACTGTTTAGGAACATGATGTTAATCATCTTGCATAGCACATTACATTTAAACAGTTTCTTAAAGAAATTATAACATATCTTTGTATGAACAAAAGGGGTTTGAGTATGTTTTTTAAAAAAGAAATAATGTTGAGATAAGGAAGTGAGATGATGTCTTTGAAAATTAAGTAAAACTAGCATGCCTAATATGCTTAGGAAAGTACTAAAAAGAAGTAAGAATGAGAACAAATGGAGACTAAATAAAAAGGGCAAATAGTTTAGATTCTCAACCTACAGAAGGAAAGCACTGAGAACTGAAGAGGAAAATAACTGAGATAGAATAAGTAGAAGAATGAGAAAGACTTCATTTTCAGAAGAGCACTGGGATGAGTGTGATCAGGGAGTAAATGGAGGAAGCAGGGCACATCAATAGGAAGGAAAATACAGCAGAAATGGAAAGGGACACACAGTAAATAAAACTCTGGGACAGAATGAAAAGGGACATGGGTTAAGAATGTAGGGAAGACAAAGGGACAAGAGCAGAAGAGCACTGGGACACCTCTTAGTAAGGCACAGGTTTTTAAACATGTGGAAAATACTTCTTTTTTATTATTTTTATTTTTTTTTTAATTTATTTATTTTAGCGGTAGTGGGGTTGAACTCAGGACCTTGTACTTGCCAGGCAGGTGCTTATTCTACTGAACTATCTCCCTGGCCTGGAAAATACCTCTTTAAAGAGAGTTTCCCAAATTTTTGATTTCCTTTCCAATGTGATGTATAACAAAGATTACTGTCATCCTACTGTATATCCTTCTTTCCTTGCTTTTTCAAATGGAAGCCCTACATTTTATTATTATTTTTTTAACGTATTTGGTACAGGGTCTATAGGGTCTCACTATGTAGAATGGACTCAGATTCTCTTATTTTCAGCCTCCCAAGTGCTGGAATTACAAGTGTGAGCTACCACATCCAGTCTCAATCACGGTCTCAGCGCATCCCAGGGGAAGGCCAGCACGGTATGCTGGGGATTAAATCTCAGCTGCTGCACTCTGCCTAAGCAGGTGCTTTAGTCCACTAAGCTCTCTAGCCAGCCCTTGAAGCCCTACATTTTAGTTACAGGGATTCTAGCCACCCTAGCAGTAGCTACAACCATACATACCAATAACTATTGGCCAGTGGGACATGATGCAACAAGAGAAATACAAATTCTAAGTCACACCCTCCTAAAAAATTGCCTTTTTTTATTTCCATTTCAATGTGCATATAATCTTATCATAGACAATGAAAACTCTGATGACTGAAATCTACTACCCCAGGATCACCTGCTATATTCTCGCTAGATGTGGGGTGTATGGTAAGGAATGGTAGGGGGTCAACATCTCATTTAATTGCAGGGCAAAAGGACTCTAGAAACAGAATTCTTGAATTCAAAGTCCAGTTCTCCAACTTGCAGCTATAGCAAATCACATAAGATTTGTGCCTTAGTACCCTCACCTGCTACTTCTTGTGAGCATTAATCCCACTAGTACACACACATACACAATACACACATATATGTATATATAAGCTGTCAGGCAGAGTATATGTTATAAAATTATTTATGACTATTGTTGAGTATGTGGGTCCCTATAACAGCAGCTCAGTAACTAACGCAGATAATGAATTGCCTCAAATTCTTTTTCTGTGTTCTTGAGTTTTGCTTTATTTAGTTTTTTTTGGTGGAGCCAGGGATCAAACTCAGGACCTTGCACTCACTAGGAAAGCACTTATTCCACTGAGCTATCTCCCCAGCCCTTCAAATTCTTTTGAAACTAGTAAAAAATAAAAACAAAAAAGCGTTAAATATTCATATGATAACCAGGAACTTCATATGCCTAGGCGGTAAAAGCAGAAATTTATGGGTAACTGGAGAGAACTGACATTTGAAGAAAGAGAGGGGAAACAAAAGAACTCTCACAGAAAAATTAAAGGATTGCAGAAAAGCCAATTGTTTGCAAACAGGAAAAATGATTGCATAGGGCTGGCAAGATAGCTCAGGAGAATAAGCATGTGCTTTGGCAAGCTCAGGGACCAGGGTTCGAACCTCAGGCCTGGGCGTGGTGACACACCTGTAATCCCAGCACTGAGAAGGCTGAGACAGGAGGATCACTATAAGTACAAACTATGTAGTAATACCCTGTACCAGATAGATAGATAGATAGATAGATAGATAGATAGATTGATTGATTGATTTTTAAAAAACACTAGAAATGTAAAGCCAAGCCTAGTTACCTAAACACTTAATGCCACTGTCTTATATGTCCAAAATTTATAGAATCAATTTATATTTCTATGTAATGCTTAACATTTTTCAAAATTCACATTTCCATATACACAATACACCCTATGCTATATCCCTTTAATTACTAGATTTTCTTATGTTCAAAGAAATATTTATTAAATAAAACAAAATGTAAAAGTTTGTCTTGGTTACTAAGACCTTTCAGTACTGGGTAGCTGGATACGAGTTAAAAAAAAAGAAAAGTACCTAGTCATGAAATCCCAAGAAGCAACAAAAGCCAGCAAGAGCCTGGGATCCTACCTTCAGGAGGTAAACTATAAAGCTGGGCTACAGGTCCACTCACAGGCATCACTGGTAACTCAAAATGGAAAGAGCTTTTAATTGTTGGAAGTGGTAGGCGATTTTTTGGAAAACACTTTCTCATTATCAGACTGGAGGTATTGACAAGAGGATCAAGAGTCCGGACTGCCAAACACTCCTGTTTATTAAAAGAAAAAAGAGAAAGATAATGTACCTTTGATAAACAGAAAAAA